GGCCCCGCAAATGGCCCCAAACTGGAACGGGGACATCGAATTGCAAGACAGAGATACGTGCGCGAGCATCTAAACTGGACACTAGACGATTGGTCTAAGGTAATGTTCACGGACGAGTCTAAATTCATGCTTTATAAGCGTGATGGTAGGCAGTTGGTGTACAGAAGACCAGGGGAGCGCTTCCATCAAGCGTGTGTGGAGGAAAAAGTGGCGTACGGTGGAGGCTCCGTACAAGTTTGGGCTGGGATTTCTACTGAGGCCCGCACCGAGCTGGTACTCATTCAAAATTGAACTCTAAATGCAGAGAGGTACGTGGAAGAGATCCTCAATGAACATGTAGGTCCTTTCATGGCCAGGATGGACCGGCATGGCATATTAATGCATGATAATGCGCGTCCCCATACCGCCAGAATCGTACATGACTACCTTGAAGAGGTCGGTATCAAACTCATGCAGTGGCCAGCGCGAAGCCCGGACTTAAACCCCATCGAGCACGCCTGGGACGAGCTTCAGAGATGCGTGAGAGCTCGTGGAGGCAATACAAAGTATTAAATGAAGAAAGTGATGAAAAACAGCAAAAAAAACAATCATAAAAAATGTAATCTTAAGAAAAATATGACGTTTTTTTTTTATTTAGAGATAAGTTAAGAGTTAGAGAGTTTAGATGTAAGTTTTATTTTACTTTTTATCTGTATAATTAAATTCTCAATTGAACAGTCTTCGTTTCATTAGGATGGCATACGTAGTTCGGGAGATATTCGGGTTTATGTGGCTGACCCGTTATTTTTGGAACAGAGTTTATTTTAAACGATTTTACGAAATATTTTAACTATTTTAAAAAGACGCCAGTTTAAGAAAATTAAACTTGGTATAGATTCAGTAACATCTAGATTGCCTGTGTAAAGCAAAATGGTTGACAACAGGATGCTTAGAGACATTCTCGCTCTGCTTGAAGAAGGGCCTGGACCGGCAATGTAGAGTCTTTACCTATAGTAAGAACATTGACAATGCAGGATGTCGATAAGGCTTTCATTTCGCGATGTTCCGCTAAACGTTATCTAGCGGGTGCCGAACAACTATTGACTGAGTTGTTCTGTCGATAAATCTGCCTCAGCTCGAGTGGCTTTATCGAGGAAACATGTCACTATGGTACTAGAGAAATACATGTTCTCGTTAATCTTACCAATGTGTTTAATTCGATTTTTTGATGAAGGAACAACTTGTTTTTTTGTGATAATCCAAATTTTTGGTATTTCTAATAGCAAATTATACAATTTAAAAATCAGCACCATGTGAAAACGTGTATCCCTTTCACGTATCCCCAAAAAAATGTCGTTGGCAAATGGTATTACTATTCTGCCCATAGAGAAACAATACACAAGCGGTAGTGTATATATATATATATGTATATATATATAAATGCATAAAATGTACCATAAAACTTTCTTAAACAATGAAAAACCAAGAAAGTGAGAAAGAAATAGTAGTATAAAAAGACGCCTCAAAGCTAAGACCACTCAGTACTTATCACCACACTCAGATAAACAGAATATTTTTTTACCAACTTAATGAAACTCAAACTCCTATTGAAGTAACCTTATAACAAGATTAAGTAACATTGCTTACTATACTTACAACACAATTAGGTATAATAATTTGAGCTCGGAAACAACCTAGCATAAATTTAGATTGGATACTCCCACGTGAAGGAGCGCGGTAGCTCTCTAGTAACAGAATAACTAGTAAATAATATAATATCTTAGTACTAATTAACATAAAGTGAACACGAAATCTAAATTTAAACTAATAAAGAGATTTCTTTTTTGTTTATTGTGATGTGAAACATCTAAGGCGTCGGGGCAGACTGGCTGTTGGCTTAGCGCGCGTATAAATATTTAAATACATACCTAAAGCAAATGTGTAAGAGAATACTAATACTTACTTAGCCTATTACTTTTTAAAACATTTTATTTTTGTAAACTACAAACAACTTAATAATATTAGGTTCTTACATATGAAATTGACGTTTTGTACGGGTGGAATATAAAGTCAATTTTTTTTTGTAAAATATATATTTACTCAAAGTATGCACCGTTGTTATCTATGCACTTTTGCTATCTCATACTCGTAGGTAGTTCATTGATACCTTTACTAAAAAAAACAATGGGGGCGAGAATCAATAAACTCTTTGAAGGCGGTTTGGACTACAGCATCGGAGTTGATTTTTTTTCCTTGTAAGAAGTTGTCCAAATTCCGGAAAAAATGGTAATCTGTTGGAGCAAGGTCCGGGGAGTACGGTGAATGTCGCCAGACATTCCAATTGTAGCTCAACTGACTTAGTGGTTGTTTATTGTGCAGTGTGTGGTCTTGAATGTCGTGAAGCAGCAGTGGTCTAGAGCGATTGACCAATCTCGATTGTTTAGCAGCTAGTTCTTCCTTCATGGTTTGTTGTTACTGACAATAGATATCTGCCGTAATCATTTGGCCAGATTTTAGAAAGCTGTAGTGAACGACACCGGCGCTAATCTACCAAACACTCACAAGTGACTTTTTCTGAGTCAATTTTCGTTTAGGGCAGGATTTGGGTGGGTCTCCAGGGTTCAGCCATTGCGACGAGTGCTTCCGATTATCGTACAGTATCCACTTTTCATCACAAGTAATGACTCGATTTAAAATCCCTTCATTATTGTGTCGGTTGAGCAAAGTAACACAGCAGTCGACGCGTGTTTGCAAGTTCGATTCACTCAATTCATGAGGTACCCATTGTTAAAGTTTTATACTTGCCCGATTTGCTTCAAGTGGATTAATACAGTTTTATCACTTACCCCGAAACCTGCAGCTATCTCTGAAGTGCTTTAATTCTTCATTTTCCACTTTGGTCTCCGGCCGTCCACGGGGTTGGTTCTGTAGGTCGAAATTTCCAGAACGAAAACGTTGAAACCAAAAACGTACCATGTTTTCTTTTGCGACACCAGCGCCGTACACATCTTTAATCCTTCGAGCTGTTTCTGCAGCACTGGTGCCACGGTAGAACCCGTACTCTTAAATATACCGATATTTCATGTTTTCCATTGTGCGGTAATAAGCGACGCCAAAGAAAAAATAATAAGGAAAAAACAAATGAATGACTGTTTTGAAAACTCAGATGTACCAGCTAAATTAATTTATAAATTTGGATTGGGAATTCTTAACCAAAGAGGAGATATTTCAGATCAAAGTGGTCAGTACGACCAAAAATTTCATATGTAAGGACCTAATATAAGACCTTTGAGCAGGCAGAGGCAAATTTATCAGCAGCATTGTCCAGTCTAGGCACTTACCACGACGAAAATTGTATGAAACCCAATCCAGAAAAACTCAATCCTGCGCATTTCATCTGCGCAATAGATCTGCGAATCGTAACCTCAATATCTCCTAGCTACGCCATGCGATCTCCATTGCTCACTGCAGCCACTGTACTTGGACTTCACCCTGGACCGATCGTTGAAAAAAATAAAAGAAAAGGTTTCGGTATGTAAGAACCTGCTTCTTCGCCTTACATCCTTGAAATGGAGAGCTGCGCCTTTAGTTCTACGTACCACAGGGTTGGTATTGTGTTTCTCTGCTGGCGAATACGCTTGCCCGGTTTGGCAGTGATCGGCCAACGCCATAAAAGTAGATGTAGGTCTGAACGAAACGTGCCGGAAAATAACTAGATGTCTAAAGCCGACGCCGGCAGAGATGCTATATCTACTAGGTTTTGCCCCTCCAGCAGTTCACAGAGAAGTAGCCTCTGCCATAGAAAAATGGAAACAGAAAATTGAATCTAGACACCCATTGTAAGGCCGAAATCAAATAACGAAAAGGCTGAAAAGCCGAATACTTTCCTCAATACTGTTCCTGCCGACGACAATAACTCTCAACTCTCTCAACTATTGTCCCCTTGACAGAACCTGTCCTGAACCAATACCTGGATACGACCATTGCGGTGGTCAGACACGGCCCTCCACACGCTGCTAGAATGCCCGGTGTGGCATGAGTAGAGGCGTGGCCTCGTAACCACCATCGGAGTGAGGATTCTCTAACTTGGTTTGATGTTTGCGGCCGTGGTACGGAGCAATGGCGCGGGGAACTCTGCCACCTCCTTCTGGAGCAGGACCTGAAGAGGCTTAGAACTCACCCGGTCCTCCAGGCGGGAACGAGCCAGGTACTGCAGGCAGCTCAGGCAGTGGAGGTCGCTGAATGACTTCCATCCTGCATCAGTGCAGGCCTGGAGGGGACAGGTGAGGCCATCTGTTACCGAAAACAAGAAAAGCTCTGTAGGGGAAGGGGGTGGGGCTGATGAGATGCTTGCCTAGGGCGCTCTTGATCCATCTCTGCTTAGGCCTTAACCCTCTCCTGTCACCAAATCCGGTCTAAACTTACGTGCCCTCTGATTTACCTGACAAATTACAGGTATCTTACATAAAAAAGTAAAGGCTTTTTATAAGTTAGCGAAAATCATTAAACCTCCTTAAACCGACCCTGTCGTAAAATTCTTTCGTCTATTTTAGGTGACGTAAGCTCTAAAGTACCTGCACACAAAACTTCATTTTATAGTCGTCTTCAAAATTTTGTGAATAAACAGAAAAAGAATAAGCAAATATCCTTTTGCTTTTATATACTTTATGTTTTAAATTATTTATAACAAGACACACGTAGCGACATCTAATTCATTAATAACGAAAATGTTTTTAAAATCAGAATATCCATTTTGTAGCAGGTGGCAATTTCAAATTACAAAGTGAAACCTAATTATTGCCTTTGAAGAACTGTTTTTCATTACAACAATATCAAAATTAAATAATACTAGTTAAGGTAAATAAAAAGGTAAAAATAATTACCACAAATTATAGATTTTTTTAGAATAAGACAATATTACTGGCAACTTTTTGAGTTTACTTTGTCTATGGTTTCGTCACATGACCCTTTTATTTTGTTCCCGTGATCAAATTGTGGAAATTCAAAAATAATTACGCGCAATGGCCAAAGTGGAAATTGACGTTGATGACATGCATGAAAATTCTCTTGATAACAGGTAATATACGCTTGAAACTTTAATTATTTGCATAGTGCATTATATAATTGAGATTTAAGCTACTGAAGGTCATTGCTTTGTAGTTTTGCAACTTGGCAATCAACTCATGTTTCTCGATTTAGAATTTATTTTCATGTGATAAACTGTATATTTCTTCTGTTGTTTGCAGTGCAGACAGTGAATATTTGGGCATGGTCGATGAAGGATCTTACGGTACGTCAATAGCTCAAGTTTTAATTACTTTTAAACACATTACGATTTAAATTCAATTACTCTCATAATTTGTTTACCTTACATTTACTTATTGAATATACCGTAATGCTGTGTACCTACCATCAATCAATCTAATCTTATTATCTGTTCAAGTATATAGGGTTATTTAATTAAGTTTAAATTTAATTATGAATAAATTTCAGGGAGCAACGAAGAAAGGTCCCAATTAGTTTCGCAACCTTACGAAAACAGTGGCACATATAACTTTAAAGATCTATGTAAGTAAATATATACACATACAATAAAATAAATTGTAGGCAGAGACATATTAATAACCAACCTTTTACCAGCTATAAGTTAGTCCTGCACAATAGGAAACAAGCCTATTGCTATTAAATTGGAAGATGTTACAAGGAATTTCAAGGCATGAAAAGTGATATTGCAGACCTGAATTAATTGAGCAGTGTAAGCAAAATAGCTTAGCAGATTAGCTACCACAATAGAAAATAATTAAATCCTATCAGTGACTAAATCAAGACCTTTTTATTACATTATCCTTCTTCTAAGCAATAGAATTTTGTCATAAGCCCTATATGTTTTTTTAAAGATGATAAGCAACATGAGTCACATAATATTATTGTTTTGCTAGCCTTTAAACCTCAGCAATGTTGCATGTTTTAATAATTATTTCCCTTGATAGTGTAAAGACTACAATTCAAAACAACACTATCAATATAGGATATTCTTAGCCATTTAGTTTACCTTAGCCATTTAGTTTACCTTAGCCATTTAGTTTACCTTAGCCATTTAGTTTAGCCTTATGATTTTGCCTCATACCTATTCTGCAATGACAGGTATATTTAAAATCTATCCTGATTTTGTGCACCAATCTCGAACATACTGTCACAAAAGTTTATCAGTCTATAAAAATGTAGTGTTTGACTTTGTCACAGTTTTATTGTCTGCATGCATACATAATCTAACAGTAATGTAACATGTCTACTTTAGATGTCAATGACTTCTACAATTATGTGTTATAGCTGCTATCACAAAACTTGATCACTGATTTCTTTTAATTATTTTTTGTTAGATTTGTTTACAATTTAATATTTATTTATGTTGTTCTAAATTGGTCTTATTGGCTAACAATATTGCTTCAAAAGTGACTTGTGTTAAGAAAGGAACCACCTTTCTCTGATTGTTTTGCTACAAAGAGAACTGCATGGATGGCATAGTGGTTTAAGTGGTCAACTTACTGCTTCCTACTGCGCTAAGTGTTGTGGGTTCGATTCCCACATGGGACAACACTATGTGATCCATAAATTGAGTCTTGATGTTATTTGTGTCCGTTAATGTTTGTATAATCCCCTGTGACACAGGATATATTCCTAGAGCTATGTCTTTGAGAATTCTTTTAAAAAAAAAAGAGAACTGGCCTTGATGACCTTATATGAAAAATCTTAAAAAATATATATTTAATAAAAACTCAATTAATATGTATTTTAGTCAATGCAATAGAACATACTAATAGTTTATAATGTAATAATGATTTCATTTTCATTATTGCAGCTGGTTCAGTAACATACAAATTGATTACAATGGCAGGTGATGAATCAGGAACAAATATAGCACATTCACCTACGCATGGTAAGTTTTATGCTCCTTCAGTGTTTACTCGTACTTCTCCTTCAGTGTAGACTCAGACTATCACATAAAAAGGTATAAAACTGATACACTAAATCCTGATATTGAATATAATATTGACTTTATTGTACAATATTTGTAGTACAGCACTAAAAAACCTGTTACCACCTGTTAAAACAATTAACACTTTAGTCGGATGCAGTCTTCCCTTCTTGTATATTTGGTCGCTGAACAGTAAAAAAGATACACATGAATAATTTGGGCATTCCGTTCTTTGACATTCATAAGGAAGGGCAAAATGCCTGGTGATCAGCATTTAACAAAATTAATAATTCTTTAGGCCTATGTGGAACAAAGCATCCATAGGTTGATCCAAAAAATGTTTAATTTAAATGGCTGATGTAGACACTTTTTAGTTATCCTAAAATTCTGATTACTTGAGATAGATAGCCTGTTATTGTGATGTTCAGAACCACGTCAGAAAATATGAGATTGAGAATTAGTAATTTTAATAAATATGATAAGGCAGGAAGTGTCTTCTATTAATGTCATTCGTTTATTGGAGACTATATATAATTTTTAATATAATACTGTTCTCCATATTATGTTTACATTTATTAATTTTTAAACATTTATAGGCATCCACCAGGAGGCAGAATACTTTGTTATCAGCAACCCAGTAGAAGTGTTTGGAACAGGAACAACACCAAAGAAAGCAGTTCGTAGAGATCCTATGCAAGCAAAAGCAGTTACAGCAAAGAAGGTATGGCAACAACAACTATGAAATGTATACTGTATTTGGAAGGTTCAATTAATACAATTAATCAAATTAATTAATTAGCGTGATGAAAAGATGGGTGCTTCTACACAATGAAAGTATTTGTAGCAGGTAAAGACAAGGTTATTTGCGTTAGTAGTATGCACACTTGTACATGTAGGAGTCTTGCTAGTCTCAGATTTTGAAACAGTTTAGTACCAGGGTGCTTGTATACGGTGTAGTAGCTGGAGCAAATAATCGCGTTTAAATGCCTCGACCAACGAGAATTCTTATGGAATCATTTGTTAAAAATGTTATTCTACTAGATTTAATAAATTTAGCGCACCGCAAATCGTGCGAGTTACCAACGCTGGTGGTTCACGCAAATGCCTCAACATGCGCAAGTTACTTGCATCGTGTAGAAGCACCCTATCAATCATGATTCTAAATTTTACATTACATTATTTTACATACAATTGTAATCATTATAATGTAATGTTCATTATTGTGATGACATAATCTCTTTACTGCTTGATTTTAAGCGACCGCTCGACCTTCAAAACATATATATACATATCTCAAGAAAAATTTAAACTTAAAAAGAATAATATGTAAGAAACTAACTAATGTGGTGGCATTTCAAACTTTGATTACCTTAATGGTCACTTACATGGAATAAAGTTTAACGCCACTTGCAGTTTCCACGCCACGCGCCGCGTCAGTTTTTTGTTTTCTTGATTTTGAGTGGTTTATTATTGTTGATATATCTTAAAAAATTCAGTACAATGTTATGGACGTACGCCATTAGTCCCGTCAAAATCACATATCGTACAGCCATTGTTTACTGAATGTCTAAATGCAATATTTTTCTTCAGCGCGATGACAAAAGGCGAGCTACACACAATGAGGTAGAGAGACGTCGCCGAGATAAAATCAACAGTTGGATCTCCAAATTAGCTAATCTTGTACCAAACTCTGGACTACCAGACTCCGCGAGCAAAGGAGGTATTCTAGCAAAAGCGTGCGATCACATTACTGACCTTACAGAGAAACAGAAGAGGTAAATGTTTAAACTTCGATAAATTTTTAATGTGACCGTCATTTGAATTATATTATTTTAACACTCAACAGAGGTATCACTTGCAAATTGCTTAGCGTTGTAAAATAGATGTGAACCAAATTAAAAAGTAAACTGAAGTTGTACTATCCACCTTCTGAAGGCTAATTCTCGTAATAAAAGCACATCGGTAGCAATTTAGTTCCGATCAATACTCGATCTCACAATTGTCATAAAATTTATTTTTGTAGTAACGCATTAAACATCTAACATTGACTGTAATGTGAGTATACCGTATTGTAACCGAAAATTGAATCAGTAATCTGCTGATGGATGGATTGAAACATAATAAAGATCATAAATACATCAAATAATGTGTAGAGTTTAAAAGTATATAAATGTTAATAAAAAAAAAGCTGAAAGTACATGGCTCATAAAATTGACACACTCTCTTTGATGTGGTGAACTTACCAATAGAAAAAACACACTACATGAAACCAGAAACAGGTTCGATATTGTTGACACTACTTTTGTTTCGTAAAGATGTTTATTAAAATAAATTTGTGCAAGATCAAAGAGACCATACGTTGATTCGATAACTGAGTTGTATTTTTTGTTTGAATTCTAATAATGCAATTTTATTTTCAGATTAGAGAAATTGGAAGTGGAAAATGAGAAACTAATGTTAGAAATAATTAGACTCAACCAGGAACTATCCGAAGTACGCAAAGAAAACAGTTCTATGCGTAACCAGTTAGCAGACAATTGCATAGTATTGCAACACAGGCCAAAGGGCCAGAAGTCCTAGTTAAAGCTGAAAGTGGAGTGTAGAACTTGACTGAGTAAACCAAGGTGCTGAATACTGTGTTGACTGTGTGCAGGTCACGAGAAAGACATACTGTACTACTAAATGTTTTAGTTTAACATGTTGGGGCTAATACTGTCTACAATAAGTTAGCCCTTAATGAACTGCGTTTGCACTATATAAATATCACTACTTTCTTCATTTAAATAATTATGAGAATGTTTTGCTTTAAAATTATATTTATCTATGAGTTCTATGTGCTTAGAAACTGGTGTCTGTTGTCATAGTTGTTCCTTCATCATAGAAAAAAAAACGACGGGTTGCCGGCAGAAGTGAAAACTTGAATATTAACGTTGTGCATTTTTTGATATTTTGGAATGGTTAGGGTATAACTTTGCACGAATTGCTTTAATTATCAGTATAAAAGTACTATCATTTATGTGGTAGAATACAAGATTTATGTGTACAACGCCGCTAAAGAAGTTTTCGTCTTACGAATTTTCGATCAGGTCACGTGTCCTGACGCGAGTTTAACATTTTTTACCCGTTACAAAAAAAAGTGTACAACGCCGCTAAAGAAGTTTTCACTTCAAAAACAGATTAGTGTAAGTGCATACCTCAACATTGTAGAGGTTGGTAATGGAGGAAAGGGCAAGGAATTTCATTTGCTTATGTGTCTTGTAGAGACATATAACATATATTTATTTCATAACAATCAAAGAATATTTGTATTAACTATAACTACATGTAAAGAAGTTATTGGTGTCTATCAGGTAAATGATGCAAATATCGTTTAAGAATTCTTAAGGGGCCTATGACTAAGACGTAAGAAGCATGTGAGTCAAGAGATTATTGTTATTTATAGAGGCATGAAGGAAAATTGGTTTTAACATAATATTTGTCACTTGTGATATGATGTTTTAAGTAAACACATTTGTCTCATGATTCAAGACTGTTGTTGTTCTTTGTATGGTGAAAACTTGAGGTTATTCATCACAGTTTTGTGTCACCACTTACTTTTGTGTATAATAGTAGAACTAGATATACCAAAAAGTTGTAAATATTGTAATAACTCTCAAGGCAGCTGAGACAGTATTTCTCTCAATGTGTATCAGGGTTTATGTGAAACCTATTATTAGGTCCTTACCTATGCAATCGCCTATTTATATATGGAGTATTCCAAAAAGGTGTGGTCATATTGATCTGTATAGAAATATTAGCAGAATCGATGAACCCTAAAATATAGAATATGGAACTTTTATACTTTTAAAATGATCCACATTGTGCTATGCGCAATAATAACCAACAATATTGTTATCGATTTCAGAGTTCTTTCCTTACCAGAAGTCAGTAAGCCAAAGACTATTATTACAGTAATTGCCACCATATTGAATGTCCTCTTCATATGGATTGGCAAACAAATGATCAACTGATTTATTTGTACCATGGCAAGTACTGCTTTCTAGTGTAATATTTAAAAAAAAATAAGTAAGGCCCTAATATGATTTGTGGTTCGTTTAAATACTGGATGTTGTTGTTATTATTTTCGTTTTAAGAATATAATTTGTTGATGTTTTATATAGTGTTTGTGAACATTGTTTTAATGCCAATGTTGCCAAACTTTAACACAATAATACATTTAATTTTTGAAGCATCCTGTATGTGAAATATTCTTTCCTGTTGATGTTTGTTTTAGTGTAGTTAGAAAAATGTACTCACTACATGGCAATACAGTGTCTTTGATAACGAGACACTTAGGTCAATTTCAAAATATTCTTCTAAGAAATAACGATTTGATATGTATACAATAATAAATCATTAGCATAAATGTAATAATAATACGAAATTAAAGATCAAATTAATAGTATTTTGTTATAAAGGGTGGAAATGCACTGGGAGCATTTCTTTACCAGTAAGGTAACAATTCAACTTTACAAACATATTTGAATGATTTGTTGGTTATTTTTATCATTTCTTATATCATTGCTACTGTGAGTATGGATTTTGTATATTAATAAACCAAAACCTTTACATTTTAATAATTTAAAAGGATAGCATAACAAAATCACGGGAGCTGTTTTGACTTTAGCCTATATAAAATTACTCTGTTTGGCTCCCTTAAGTCTGAGTATCTGAAAATATTGTAACCGGTTGGATTAGTATATTCTCTGATTGAGTTAGAAGTTAACAGAGCTGCTTCAAAGCACGTGAATGCTCACAGCCAGTTTACATCCTAAACCATGATGGTTGAATAAGCACTGGTTGATACCTTGAATGAGTCTATGGAGCCACGGCACCCATTTGCACTGAACGACAAATAATGTATATGCAGAAATTTATTATCTCCTTACTTTCTTCAAGTGCTTATGGGTCTAATATTTCTGTATGAATGTTCTAAAGTAACAATGTTGTTCTAATTATACATTTTTATATGATACTAGTTATAGAAACTTACGAATGAGTGTAAGTACATAAAATATTTTTTATTGAACAAAGCAAACTCGAATAATTGATAAAAAAGGGCCCAATAACATGTTAAACCATTACGAAAAAGGAAATAAGCACCACTCGTGCTGGCAAAGGCAATGACAATGTTGTTGAAATTATTAGTTTTATTTTACAGTATGTATAATTTAAAGTATGCATTAAAATGTCGGTCATATTGGCTTTAAAACTACTGCTTATTATAAGTTTTAAGTTCCAATTAAAAATTGTAGTTAAGTTTTTTATTAAACAATACCTAATAATGAAATAAATCTTTAGTATGACCAGAATAAACAAGTCATCTTGCTCCTGTTCTTTGAGTATCATGTATTTATATGGCATTATATCAGTTTGCTTAGTTGAATAATGAATTTTAATATAGTTCTACAGGTAGGGTATGTTAGCTTTAAGAGTGGATTTGTTCATTATTTCACAATTGACTTATACAAATTTATTAATAGCATTGAAATCCACTATCACAAAAACCAAGGACACTGGTAATATACAGGTTGGATACAAGTTTTTTTTTATTTGTTTATGTAGCACAAACCTAATTCAATATATAATCAAGTGTTGTTAAAAAGTTGTTTTATTCACTTAACACAACAACTTCCGAACCTAGGAATTATTCCCGAGTCCTCCACTTATATTCAGAAAGAGCACCCATATTTGTAATAACTACCATTTTGCCCTCTTCCTGAGTTTTGGTGACAATTGACATCCCGCACTTCTTGTTCATTAAAAATTGAACTCATAATGTTTATTTAGAGAATGCCCGACTAGTTACAGAGCCACGGGGTCTTTTTCAAGGAAAGAAACGCCTGACGATAGGGTGCGCTGTCATGCGCGTCATAAGTTTATCTTGAATATGTAGGAGTGCCGGACTCCACCAAAGCGGAGACGCGCTGCTCCAGTGATCACGAGCTCTTCTCGTAATTAAAAAGTTGATATAGAAGATGATATCGCGCTTTACGCTATTCTTAAACCACAGCTTTGGACGGCCCACAGATCTTCTGGCATGAGCTTTTCCCCTAGGAGAGTTTGTATGCAGATGTCCTAGTAAGCGCAGTCTCTTTTGTTTTAGAATAGCAGTTACGGTTGGCATCCTCGTCATCTTTAAATACCAGAAACAGAAATAAACTTGTTGTACCGGCCTCAGTGTCCGATTTTATAATAAAATCCTACATAGTATACAAGACTTAAGTATAAACAAATTGAAATCCACAATTTGTATTTATTTATATATACCATACCATACATTATCACAGGTAGACCAATTCAATAACAAATACAATACAATAAATAATAAAACGTAAACTATGTCCGTAAGCCTATTACTCGATTGTGGATTATATAGAAGACAAGAATGCTTGAGATTTATTTAGCACAAGCTATTTAGTGGAATGTGGAATAGTGTGTTTTTTATATTTCACTATATTTTATTTTTTATTCTTTTTCTTAATCTTGTTTTCTCTTCATTGTCTTTTTACCTTTTAGTCCTTAATAACTGACATACTGGCACACATCGAAATTATGCCGCTATTATGAGTGTGTTATATATGACTTTAAAGTCGGTACAGTCATAAGAGGCGATTTCAAGCCATTTGTAATTTTTTTATGAAATAAAGATATTTTGAGTTTGACTGTAACTAAAAGGGTTGCAAAGTTTTAATTGGCTGGGCATATTGCCCGTAAACAAGGCTCTTGGTGGAAGACAGCATTAGAGTGGAGGTCGTGTGGTGAGAAACGGTCCCGAGGAAGACTATAAATGAAACTGAAGGAGGCCTACACCTCAGCAGTTGAAATGGCTAGAGAGAGAGTGAGCGCGTAATATACGTAGTTATATTAACATGTGTGCAAATATCCAGAAAATCTAAAGCTAGGAAATGGATAAAGTTCATCCAATAAAAATAATTTTACGACAAACTGTACGAATTTAATTACTCATCTCAGTATCTATATACGGTAACTCGGTTACTGCATCTTCTATCTGGGTACTGCCATGATTTTCTTCTTTCTCCTTAGAGTCATCTTGAATTTTAGTTACATTAGATTTGGCTTTGCTGTCTCCTACAAGTGTTTTCTTATCAACCAAGATTCCGCGCTTTACTTTACACTTTACGGCGATTTTCATGTGAAGATTAAGTTGACTCCTGTCTACAAAGGCTTTGTTACAGTGTTCACATTTGAATAGCTTGTTATCTAAAATTAGAAGAATATGATCATTAAACCTGTGTGTCTGTCATTAAATAAAAAATGAAACAAACTCGATGTCGATTACATTTAGATTAACGATTACTTTTTGTTTGATTAATATTCAGTTACACTTACCCATGTGATATTTTACATGTTTTGTTAAAGCGTCTTTTCGTGCAAAAGTCTTATCACAATATATACATGAAAACGGCTTTTCACCAGTGTGAGTTCTAAAAAAAAAAAATAATGAGCCCTACAGAAGATCTTTAATACCTTACTAAAAATATTAAGAAGGATAAATTAAGGAAATTATTTGTATAAAAACGCATTGACTCGTTATAAATAGAAATGAAGTACAGATGGAAAGTTTTGCTGATACATGGTTTCATGACAAGAGGGATTGACTAAAGGTGTTCAAAGGAAACCAAATCATTGAAATATGTTAGGAAAATCAGAGGGATAGATGAGAGACTGATTTAATGGTTTATTTTTATTATTGATCTTAAATTTCTTCAGGTTGTTTAAACATTAAGCATTGCACTCCTTACGTGTATATACATATATATATATAATACAAATATATATAATATATATTTGTATTTATGTATGTGTATATGTGTGTGTATAGATATATATATATATATATATATATATATATATATATATATATATATATATATATATATATATATATATATATATATATATATATATATATATATTTATTACTTAGCGTTCCATAGATTCACCATGTTGGTACCGGGTCCATCGCGTGATAGATGGGGGCAACACATAAGACTTCGACAAAGTCTGTCGGCCTGTGGAGTGACGTACCCACAGATTACCGCCTAATAGATTCCGCATACAGGCCACACAGGCGCGCATCACATACTTGCTGTAGCTAGCATACAACGTGACTCTAAGAATTACGACATTAGTAACGACCAAGGTTGTGACCCGTACGCACGTCAAATTCAGACAATTTAAAATAGTTTTACTTTAAAAATACATTAGAAATGGCCTCCTCTACAGTAAAATGGTGTGACAAGTCAACTAAGATTATATTACAAGAAAAAGACTGATGCCCGGTTTCTGAGTAACTTTTAACGGCAGTTTATGTATTCATTAGCGCTATTGGTTCGATAACCTAAGAAAATGCGTTTCTGAACATCGCAATGTAAGATAAACTCCGTTTAAACTTAGGTTAACTTAACTGACCAATGTGTGCCGTTTATCGATTTCATAACTTTATTTGACGTTTTGCTTCAAGCAAATTACATAAACTTTTAGGTTATAACTGTTATTATTAAATTGTCAGTAAAAACTTAATATTAAAATTAACGTAATGAATACGAGCAGCTCATCAGAGTCTGATTTGGAAGTATTGGAGTTTATTTCTAATATTTCAGTACCTAGAAACCTAAGACGTAGGAGAAATCCTTTCGAAATGTTTACGGATAAAGAATTTCAATTAAGGAATTTAAATTTTAATTATTATTATCACATAGGTAAGGCATGCAACTGCTTTTCAGTCCTAAAGCCAGTTTCTGAGACAGCATTATATTTATTTGTCAGCGCCATCCAAGCTTGTTTCTTTGCCTCCACAGAAGTTCCATCTAGAGATGGACGATATACATCGATTTATTTAAAACACTCGATGTATAGTAACGATGCATCGTATTAGACCGATGTATTTTTAATACTTCAACATCGAATATATATCGATGTTTTTTATTCGATGCATCGACCAAGCAAATTATGAATGAGTATAGTGTTGTATAGCCGCCAAATAGCTATAGTTTATTGAACGGGGTTCTTTTAATTCGCCCGTTGGAACGCTGTAGGTCGTTCGACTCGTGTTATTCGTTTGTTCGCGGGAAAATTAAATTAAACTTGATTTTTATTATGTGAAAATACTAGATTATGAATTCGCTTTAAATAAATACTCGCTGAATTTATGGTTAAAAGTTGATTACTTGCGCATAATCAACGTTTTATTTAAATGACAAAGTTACAAGTATTCCCGACACTAAATGTGTGCGAAAATTGTTAGCGTGGCTAACTGGAATATATTGGATTGGAAAATATTGGAATATGTAAAGAAAAATGTGTTGGTTGTGTGATTTTGAATTTGAATAAATATATTTAGTGCTTTTATTAATATATATATATATATATTTTAATTAAGGCCTAACCTAACCTAAAACACGTCATCGCGAAAATAATCGATGTTTAAGAAACATCGATGTATTTCTCAATACATCGTATTACCATCGATGTGACCGATCGATGCATTACATCGAAAAAAACATCGATGTATATTTTAAATGTCCATCTCTAGTTCCATCCGACTTTTTATTGTCGATTATAGACACAAATTCTTTGGCTACTTCGATAAGAAGCATCTTCTCTCTCTCAGTAAAATTTTTACTACGTTTTCCAGATTCCATTATAGTTATTTTTTATAAGAAAAGATAAAGCACAAACGATAACAAAGACCACGGTAAAAGCAAAGAAAAATAATACCACGATGAAACTCGACGAAACTTTTTTTTGACATCAATGAGTTTGACGTTTATTTAAAAAAAAATTGACTACGATGTCGTTCATTCATCCGCTGATAAATAGCGAATTTTAATAATTTATAACTAAAACAATGCTTATTTACTTATTTACCCTTGAATAAAATATTCTCGTAAATAAAGCTAGTAATAATCCTGAATTAAAATAATAAAACCAATTTTAAACTTGATCTCTTAAACAGACCCATCTAACGGCAGATTATGGAACTGCTTATCTGTTTGATAGTTATTGAACGGTTCATTGCGTGTTCAGAAACGCAGTGACAGCTAACCGACGTTTATCCTATACATAACTTTATTGTACCAATAGCTAATGAGAGTATAACTGGGAACTTCAGAAACCGGGCATAAGACATCTTAGTAATTAAAAAGATGGCATAACATTTCATCGGTAAGTAAATTATATTCTTATCACGTTAACCTATTTCAAATACAGCTTATATGTGCAACATAATTTAACTGAACTTGTATGATTTATCACGTAATTTTAGCATGTATAAGAAATGAAAAAGTACAACTCACAGGTTTTTAAGAATTATTTTAAAACTATAATATTTTTAACAAAAATTTAAATGTATAGCAAAAGTGAATGTTTCGAACTAGAACTAGAACTTTTTTAAATCTTGTTTTTGTTCTCCTGTAGTGTTTGAGTTTTTACTTGTATCACTTTTCACAGGAGGCACAGAAATATATTTACATTTTTTTATTTATATAATTCACATTAAGTAAACAATTATTTATCAATAAATCAAAAATAAAATAATTATCATTAATTCAGATCATCAAACCATTTTATCGATCAACGTCTCAACTCTGTCCCATCACTATGTATCGGTGCATTCTAAGTTTGATTTTGAAATATCCAGTAACAGCGCATTTGACACGTCCCCCGCAACTCTTGCATACTGCCTAATTTGGTCAACGCGAATCGAATCCAATAATGCGAAATCTATTAGGGGGTAATCTGTGGATGTACGTAATGTTCAAAGAAGAACATTTATTATGTCACAGGACCTTACCTCAAGTGAATAGTGAACTCTGATTGTCGGTAAAATCCTTTATCACATTGCTGACATATATGGGTATAATCTTGCGTGTGCCTCCTTTGGTGCAGGCGGAAGTTGCCTATCGTAGTACTTGTTGCGCCACAGACTGTACAAACATACTGAAAGAAAAAGAACTAGGTATATCAATACTTTCAAAATAATTTAATTACTTTAAGTATTTTTTAATTTTATTCATGTATCTTTAACGTGTATGTATTTGGTATGTACTTGTATATTAAGTATGTTTATGTTTATCATGTTAGAAAAATCATAAAATTGCCTAGAAAATTCGTTAAAAAAATGGTGTATTCTATGGGACTTAATACGATTGAAACCAATACTGGATGTCCGTTAGAAATCTTATATAATTATGCACTTACTTTTCCTATTCCTTTCTTAGTAGACGTAGCGTTATGACCAGTTTTATGTTTCTCTAACTTTGACTGCGACGTAAAATCTAAATGACATTTGTCGCACTTAAATACTTCAGCATCATCCTTCTCAGTCTGTAAGTAAAAAAAAATAACGTTGTTTTATATTTTCTTTTATTTTAAATGTTTTAAAAAAATTGCAAAACTAATAAATAAATTACAAAAAGAAGATTCCGATACCGGGAATCGAACCCGAGCCTCCTGGGTGAGAGCCAGGTATCCTAGCCACTAGACCATATCGGATATTGACTAAAATGTTAAAATGCGTGGTTAAATTCTTCAAATTTCTTAAAATAGTTTTAAAGAACAAGAATGGCATTTTTCTAGCACCTTGTGTTTTTTTAAATGACGATGAAAGTTCTGCAAATCTCTGTATTCTTTCCCACAGAAATTACATATTCTTAGCTTATATTTATAATCTTTATTTTTCTTCTTTACGATTTTTATTTTGTGTTTCTTGACAAAATGCATACATATTGCTTTGGAACTTTCAAACTTTTTATCACATATGTTACAATAGAAATTTTCTAAATCAAATTGTCCTTCGTCAAACTCAGATGAGAACTTATACTTTTTAATTTCTTTAGTGCCTGTATCAACTTCATCGACATCCATGGGAACTTTAAATTCATGTTTGATATCACTCGTTACTCTGTTATCCTCAATGTGTGTTTCCTTGGTATGATCTTGAAGTAACTCTTCAAATATTTCAAGATCAACTTGACCATTTGTCTCCAAATATTCAGAACTTTTGCTAGGGCTCTTCTTGCTTAGACTGTATTTATCGCTAAAGAGAATATTAGTTATTGTAGGAGTGGAGGCTCCTGATGCTTTGAAACCGCTTGGTTCCAAGTATTCAGAATTTTTGCTAGGACTCTCTTTGTTTACACTAAGTTTATCGCCAAATAAAATATTATTTATAGTTGGAGTAGAAGCTCCTGATGCTTCATGAAAAACTGTAATGCAAACAAATCTAACATGTAACCATTGTTTAAGAGCGACAAAGTTTAACAATTGGTAAAGTGTTAACCTAAAACTATTTAAAGTAAATTCTACTAAAACTATTTAAAAAAATTAAAGTGACGCAACACATTAACTAAATAACATTCGTCATTAAGAAAACGAATAAAGAACAATTCAAATTATTAAATAAATAACATCAAAATTAAAGAAGCTTAGAGTAAGCTTACGTAATTATACGTACACGTAATTGGGAAAGGGACAGTGGCCGCTTTTTCAGTGAAAGCATTCATTTTCAACACTAATATAAATATAGAAATCAGTTGAATCATAATCAAATCAATTGTATTTTAAGTTAGACATCGTTCCATGGATTCACCGTGCGGGTGCCGGGTCCATTGCGTGATAGATGGGAGCAACACTTGCGTCTTGTACAGCGCCTGGGAATTGCGACCCAGGAGTAGGTTTAGGATAGGATACAATTGTATACCAGTAAATTTGTATGAGCAAATAATTAGATGAGGTTTAATCGACTGCACTGATGGCGTAGTGGTTTAAGCGGTCGCCACGCCGCTTCCTACTGCGCCGAGTGTTGTGGGTTCAAACCCCACATGGGACGAAACTTTGTGTGATCCACAAATTGTTGTTCTGAGTCTGGGTGTTCTTTGTGTCCGTTTCATGTATGTCGTTGTCGATGTCGATGTCGATGTATGGGCGTTGTCTTTTTAAAAAAAAAAAAAAAAAAAAAAAAATGAATCCCTACCCAAATTAACTTCTCTAAACCATGACCTAAACTTATTATGACTTACCATGACCAATAAACAGATCCATTCATATAAACATTATATTATATTTATAGAACTCAAATATTACCTTGTGGAGAAACAAGCAGTTCATCCAATGAGAATTCTTTATTATCCTTGTTTTCTAATGCTCTTTTCAAATTTTTGTCTATTGTACAAGGTTTTTCTTTATTTGATTTTTTGTCGTTTATTATACTTTCAATTTCTTTACTAGTTGTAACATAAGTTGTTCCATCAGTTGGTACATAAAAATTAGGCGTGTTTAATCTTTGCTCATGTTTTTCATCATTAATATTACTTGTTAACAAATCTAAATTGTTCAATGATCTCTCATTATCAATACTAGGTAAACTTGGTAAATCTAAATTATTAATTGATTTCTCACTATCGAAGCTTGGTAAATCTAAGCTATTTAAAGATTTCTCATGATCTCTTATTGGTAAATCTAAACTATTTAAAGATTTCTCATGATCTCTTATTGGTAAATCTAAATTATTCATGGATTTTTCATTTTCAAAGCTTGGCAAGCTTTCTAAGCTTGGTAAACTTGACAAATCCAAATTATTTAACGATTTTTCTTCTTCGATAATTGGTAAATGTACATTAATTTCAATTGATTTTTCATTGTCAACAACGTAATGATTTACTGCTTCTTCATTTTCAATAAGAGGCATATCAAAATTGTTTCCTCTTATTTCATTGTCAATTTCATCTGTTCCAAAAACACACAACTCTTTTTCACTTTGATTATTTCTTATAATATCTGTAAAATCGTTTACATCTCTATGTTGTCTCGCAGGGCTTATAGACGTAAAATATTTTTTTAACTGTTCCTCCTTTGGTTCACTAAGCCTCTTTGGTGTGTAACAATGATCATTATTCACAGCATGTAGGGTTGCAAACGGGCTGAGACTGTAATGACAAAAACATCAAAAAAATATTAATATCTATACTGAGATGTTATTGAGACAAAATTTCTTTAGATAAGGCATTCAAAATATAATCTGTAAATGGTAGAGTTGAGTGAATACTTTTGTCTTGGATCAGATATTTTGTCAGGGGAATTGAAAAAGCAAATGCTTTCACCATTAGTCATTAAAAAAGGATATTTACAAAACCTCAATGCCTTTGTGATGCCTATAGGTGTTGCAAATTGCCACCTTTGGTACAAAGAATGGTAATAACAAAGCAGTTTATACATAAATATAGAATTTTTTACTGAAAAGAAATATTCAATCAGACATTAACTACTATTTACTTTAGCAAATTATTGTTAGAAAGTTTTGTTTGGTTTATCAAAGCCTATTGAATTGTAGTAATGTCTGGTTTTTAAAACACTAATGTGTAAAAATTGTTTTATCCAAATTAATTCTAAAACAAAACCCTATTTAACTTACCTAAAATCCAATCTAAAATCAGTATCAATAGATACATCATCTTGTAACCAATGTGAATCCAACGAGTCATCTAATACATCAGCCTCTTCTTCTATTACTTCACGGATGATGCGAGCTTCTGTGTCTGGCATCTCTTCACCCTCCAATATATCTGTCATGAAGTTCCGTATGCTTGTGCATGTTGATTCTGAAAACATTATTAACAGCATATGTAGCTCTTACTGGTGAGCATGATCTTTTTAAGGTAGCACATCATGGAAATCAAATGATAATGATGATTTGTGTGTATCAATCATATCAATCTTAAAACTTATTCTAAAATAGTTGAGCCAATTTATGACTGATAATTGATTTGTTGTTGGATACTTAAGAAAATAATCTATTGGTACCTACCATTGTCATCATCTCTTAACTTATTATGCTGGGCTGGTGTACTGCTGCCACTTGTCATTGGAAGACTGTAGAGAAAAACATTAAAGTGACAGTTTTACTCTCTTTATTGATATTTCTTACGAAAACACAAGTTTTTATTACTTACAACCAATTCCACCGGTCAAGTAATAACATTTTAAATAAAAGATATACAGTCTTTCAATTTCTAAAGAAGTTATCCTTTACTTACCGAAATGCCATAGTATCATCACTGTTCTTAATAAAAGTAAATAAGTCCACACCATCACCAACATCTTTCAATGATAAGTAGGTTTTCAACTTTTTGTCGGATGCCCGACAAAGCTTTTTAAATTTACATGCAGCCTTCATGTTCAGGAAACAGTCTTTACATACTTGAAATGTGATTCTGTCATTTCTCTTTACCTGGAAAATTATGAGCAAAAAAAATTAAAATAAACACTCTGCTAAACTATAACTTTTCATTCAATAGGTGAGTAATAATAAATAATATATATCCCTCACACATCTCACACCCGGCCATCTGATCCCAAACTAGGCAGAGCCTGTGCTATGGTAACCAGACTGCCGATAAACATACTTATCTGACAAACCTATGACCTGTGTCTTAGCAGTCAGGGTCACTAACCACTATACCAACAGGCCTGTCAAAAATATACTCATACAATACAATTACAAAATATAATATTAATGTTTTCTATGAAACATAAACAAATCTAAGTAATTAGAACCTATTTCTGTCATTCTGCCACTTTCCAGACCGCGAAAAACAGAATTTTGTAAAAAAAAGTTTATAGAACAGTATAAGTACTAACGACAAAAAAACAAGTATAATACTGTTTTTAACAGTATGGTTGGGAACCCTAGTTAAAACTTAAATTGTTTACTAACCTGCAAACCTGTAGAATACACAAATAGTCTTCTATATTTTTCAGTATACTGCAGTATATCCATGGGGTCATCATACCTTATTAAACATCCTCTACACAATCCTTCCATTATAGACTGTTGTGTTTTTGTTGAACGATAAAATATTTGTTAAATAAAATGAGAAATAACCATATCAATGTTTGTAGAAGTTTAAAAATTTAATTAACTAAAACGGCAACTTTTTATTTTTGTTTCTGCTACATTACATAAATAAAAATATCAGAAAACTTTATTATTTAGTTTAACAGAAATTTAAGTAATTTAATAATAGAACTCGAAGCCCACACACAGAGTATAAACATAAACAGTAATGTCAATGTCTCACAGAACAGACATAGAACAGCAGTTTTTTTTTTTTTATAATATCTCATGTCTCTAACAGGGATGTTAGATTGTGGTGAGCCAAATCCAAACAAATGCCGCTAAAAGTCTCTAAAAGCTGGTATTTAAAAAAAAAATGGTACACTTAATATTAATAATAATAAACCGTTTACTTTATATGTTAATTTAAATGAAATTTTGAATTATCCAAGACCTTTTTAGATTATTTGAAAAAAATATTCATATCTGATAAAAAATTTACAATTATAGTGAATATTAATATTATAATAATTATATATATCTCATTATCGGTTGACGTTTTTATTATCAGATTGTATAATAAATGTTTATGCAAATTTAAAAAAAAACCAACTGTGACAAAATCATTCCCGTCATTCATGGATAATTCGCTCGATTGATAAAGTTAATCTGAAGTAAGTTACTCAATGGATCAAAAATAAATATCAAAATGAACAGTAAATTTTTACAATAATCAATATTGTAACCGTGATGTACAGCAAGAACTTATATCTTGTTAGATACAAGATTTTTCCTTTATGTATGATCAATGTAGAAGGTTCGTATTATTGCGTACCAACATAATATTTAGTTGGTACATGATATTACATGATACAAGACCCTGAAAAATGGTACGTATACCAATACGTTCTCACGTCTAACATCCCTGGTCTCTAATAGTATTAGCACTGTACTCTGTGACTCTGTGGTCATCTGTCTGAAATATCTGAGTGAGATGAGAAAAATATAGAAGTCCTTGCCATATTGCCGTTGCATGGCATGATACCAATTTAGGCAAAACAGGTATTAGTTATGGCTTAACTTTATGTGATTTGCTATGGGCTGAACTCGATTTGAATCCTTCTGAACTTATCTACTTGTAAAGCGTGCGAGAAGCGATTTCAATATTACTTTTCTGAAATAGTTTAATAAAAAAAGTTGTAACAATTTCTCACTCGACTGTATTAAAAAAAAAATATTTTTAAATTTAGTACCTCCTTTTTTTACCGGTTTGGTGGTTATGTCGAACTCGAACTGGGATCTCCGACGCATTCTTTTCCGGTGGTCTCCTGAATCAGCCGCTATGATAGGGTCCCTTGTTGCCTCTCGAGACAATCCATAAAGGGTCTTACCGCTGCAATAACTTCACGAAGACCTGGCGGACCTGGAATTTCTCGAGATTTAAGACTCAGGACAACTCCTTTGCGACTCTGCGCAAAGGCTCTCGCCTCCAAGTCCCACTGTGGAGTTCCGGGCAGGAGACTCGCCGCCTCAAAGAAGATCGGGCGATACCCCCTTATGACCCTAATATCCAGCACTCGTTGTGGTCGTTGCAGTAGTCAGACGTTGCTGGTTTTCATTGCCCCCACCCATACTGGGGCTCCATTAAGGGACATGGACCACACAAACCCCGCGTAGAGTCCTGCAAGAGTCATCAGGTCCCCTCATGTTGGGCAGTAGCCACACCAATGCACACGCTGCTTTAACTAACTTGTGGAACAGACCTCGGAAGTGATGTCCGAGGTCCCACCGGCCATCGAATACAAGATACCTCACCGAGGGCTCGATGCTTATGCAGCCTCATAGCCAGAGGCACTCGGCTTCTTGCTATGAGGCTGGATCCTTCAGGTGGCTTCCCGCGAGTCCCATGAAAGAACAAGACCTCTGATTTGTGCAAAGCTACTTCGATACCCAGCCGTTGAATTCACTCCTCGTCTCCTCCGGCCCCACTCTGGCGAGGTGCATGACGAGGCGACGTGCAATCACTCTTTCGAAGAGTTGGCACATCTCGTCAAGCAACACTATGGACCGGTGGCTAAATGGTGAAATCGCCGGGTCTTCATTCCTCCTTTTAGATAAGGACCAGTTTTGCCAGCAATGTCTTTCACAAACTAACCCTGTTCAAGGCATGTACTGAAGACTAAGAGCCCTCTCAGTCGAGATTCGAGAGTCTTGTCATTTAGGGCCAGGACCCACGCTCGGCCTAGAATGCCTTCAAGACAAGGGATGGTGTTTTCGGGTTTAAACTTCATTCTGCCTAAGTGTCTTCAAATCTAGGGCACCCTGTAAAAGCCTGTAAATGTAAAATTAAGGAATTTAAAAGCTGTTAATTTTATCAACATAACTAGTAAAATAAGTATTAGTAAGTTAAATAAATTTTATCAAGATAACGAGTCTTTAAAAACACCTAATCTACGTACGTACCTGAACGTGTCGTATCGATACGTATCGTACCTAATACCTTCTGTAGTAAAGGTATTAGATAGAAACTGTACTATAGTAATTTCTATAAAAAGTAATGAATCACCATGGCAATATTATTATGATTATGTCATGCTTGTAAATGTTTGTTTGTCGTTTTATACTTCAATGTAATAGTAACAACGCAAAATATTTAAATTAAACTAAAAATGGAGAGTAACCCTGAAACCCAAGTTACTATTAACAAGGCGCAAAGAGTTTTGCATTTTAGTGATGGTGTTGATGAAGAATTTGAAGAGGAAATTGTCCCTGAACTTGCGAGTAAACCATTGGAGGAAAATATAGACCCTGTAAGTTATTAAAACATTGTTTTCTGTTTTATTTTAAATGTGAAAGACAATTTTAATATTAAGCAGAAAATACTTTTGATATGTTTTTGATGAATCTAAAATGCAAATTTATGCAACACTAAACCAATCCATTGTTTGCGTAGCATGACAATGAATCTATTTATTGCGTTTGTTTAATTCGTTATACAGCACAAGGTTATTTAGCTTTTTACTACTATCAAACATATATACCTACTTATTGTTTATAATTCCAGAAAACTCTTACTTGGGGACCTTGGTTCACATATGTTGCACAGAAATCGGGGACAAAGGTTTTAAATGCTGTTGATTATGCTGGAGAATCTCTAGCAAATTTTTTTGGCATCACCAGTCCGAAGTATCAACTAGAGATTAGTGAATATGAGCGAGTTCAAGAGGAACAAAAGAAATTAGAAGAAGATTCAGCTGGTTGGATGCCTAAAAATGGTGGTGGGGATATACCCTTAGTTCTAAATGAACCAATAAAAGTTATTGATAATGCGAAAAATCCCTAAAGGATAAGTTTTGGTTAAGTATTTTATTGTTGTACCTAGTCTGTTCTGATCATACTAATCAGTTTTTAATATAATATTAACAAGTCACTTTGATTAATATATACTTCTGTTCTAAAAATAATAGAGACAGTGATTAATCCATTTTGTTAATTTATAATTGTTAAATAACAATCTAATTTAAAATAAATTTAATATATTTTAAATATTTGTAGCAAGTATAAAACCATTGAATTTACTAATTGTAAGGTGGAATTTTATGCATAAAGTTTACCAAGATCCAGTTCTGAATTCCACCGCTATGGTTAGACTCTAAAAAATTTGGAAAGAAAATTATAACATTCACAATTGCATTTATCTGGACATGGCTTCAAAAAATTTTCATTTGCAGATGAGTATCAATCGTTTTCAAGTTTTTAAATATCCTACATTTTTGGACCCTTTGTTTTTAGATATTTAGGTAGATACTCAACTTTAAAAGATGAAGTCTTCAAGTTCAGAGTAGTATTGTTAAGGTAGAGATGTTTAAAGATAAGGAATGACTTCCATACTAGTATTTTTTTTAATATCCCTTATTATATTGAAAAAATGTACTACATAGTTTGAATGTCTAAGTATTGGTTTGATTTATTGGACAAATGTTTTGAGACTTATTAAAGAAAGGGTATATGAACTGTGAGAAGAGTAGGGGTAGGTAGATGTACGCCTGATCGGAAGTGTGGAGAAAAGAGACAACTATAAATTAACAGGTGGTCAACCTGTCAACTTATAGTGTGATTGTTGTGATGCAAAATGAAGAAATAGTAAATAATTTTATATACAAGTGTGGTCAATTTGTCTGTGTCAAAATAAAATTTTCTTAAATGAGAACCATCTTAATGAGGCTACACTACACTACTACGAGTAGTATAGGACCAAAAAATATGTATGACACACCATTAAGTATCACTTGTATATTAGATTAACATTGATATGTGTGGTTGTAATGTGTTAAATTTTATTTGTTTATTAGAATTAAGAGTTTTATTTTTATAATAATTACCTAAGGATTTATTTATTATTCTAATGACACTGAAATTATAAGGTATTTAATTATTTTAACTACAAGCTCTATTCTCAGTAATGTGGTTATGTTATGTTATGTTGTACAAATTAATATTTGTAATATTAATATTAGTAATAAATGATACTTTTATACTAAATATTGTCACATTTTATTGTTGTAAAGTTGTTCTAGTAGGCATACCTACACATCTACCCACTAGCAATAATTAAACTACTCGAAAAAACAAAACCTCAGTAATCTTTAACCACTGAGCAACAAAATAATGTTTATATAAACACTGATTCAAAAACAAAATCGAGGTGTTTTTGAAACAAATAAATGTGTTGTGGTTGACTGTACGTGTTTTCCATTGTGTTTAGTAATATACATGTACGTATTAGAAAACAGTAGTTTATAATAGTAAAACTTAAGGTTTGGGGCATTGTATAATGCGTTTTCGTAATATGGGTTTTCATTACTTTTTAGACAAAACTCCACAGAGAAATTGGGCAAATTTTTCGTTATCGCACTAGTGACACCTATTATGCAATAGCTTACAATAATCGGTTAGGCTTACTACGTGGTACGTAGTCGTTAATATTCAAAACTGTAGATGGCGCTGTTACATTTTGAAACGTTACATTTAATGAGAATTTAAGTTTAGTTGATGTACCAACCTACTATGAGACATTTGTTACTACTTATCATAAATATTATAGGCTGTTAAATATAACAAAAATAATATATAATTAAGTAGACCTTTATAATTGAAAAGTTTTTATTAACGCCCAAAGTAACAGGTAGGATACAATTTAAATAATATATTTTTTAGCTTTGGTATTAAATGCGACTCATGTTTTACTTGCAATTTTATCTTCAGTTGGTTAGGTAATGAAATGATTTGTTTTATTGGGTAATCAGACATGATGCATCTCTCTACATCTTCATTCCAATATTGTGTTCTTAAGGTTCACTTCGGTTGCGCATCTCATATTATAAATTACACCGACAGACAGATCCATAACGTCACTAGTAGCAATAAGTTTAACAATCAAATTTAGACTTTATTTTCAGAAACATAGAGTTTTATTTAAATTGAGCTACAACCATATGTTATTGTTTGTCGGTGTTTAGCATGTGATATGTCGAAATGTAAACGGTTCGAGCTGTGTCCGCAGATCAATATGCGTGTTGCGCGAGCCTTGAGGGTGTTCGCTCCGTGCGATTGGCCAGCGTGTGTGGGGCGGGGCGAGCGTGTGTGAGGAGGCGCGCATTCTCGCACGCCACGCGCCGTTTTGGCGCCAAATTGGGCAATAGGCATTCCATTTTCAAGTTTCGCGAATGAGTTCGGCCTCCACAGATAAGCAAAGGTCGTAGACTAGGGTAATACTTTTTGGATTTTACGGTCTATGATACGGCTTAAAATTAGAGCTTGGGGAACAATTTTTTGAATTTAGTTTTATCAACGACAAGCCTTTAATATTTCTTATTTTATTTTTATAACTGTGTAGCAATTGTTTATTTATGTACCTAAGTACAAAAAAGATTTAACAATCTTACTTTTTCGGTTAGAAAATAAAAGCCTAATGAGGCTTAGTTTTGTAAAAAGTGCCCACTTCAACAAATGTTTAGTTAGGTATAACTAAGTCAGTACATATTCCCCAAAAAAAGGGGGGGGGGCCGGGGGAAAAGGGGGGGGGGGGGGGGGGGGGGGGGCCCCCGGGGGGGTTTGGGGGGTTTTTTAAAAAGGGGGTTTTTAAGGAAAAAAAAATTTTTTTTTAATTTTTTTGGGGGGGGGTTTCCCCCCAAAAAAAGGGGTTTTAAAGGCCAAAACCCAAAAAAAGGGGGAAAAATTTTTTTTTAAAAAAAAAAAAACCCCCTTTTTTAAACCTTTTTTTTTTGGGGCCCTTTTTTTTTCCCCAAAAAAAAACGGCCCCCCCCCCCTTTTTTTTTGGGGGGGGCCCCCCCCCCCCCTTTTTGGGAAAAAAAAATTTTTTTTTAAGGGGTTTTTTTTTTTTTTCCCCCAAATTTTAAAAACCCCCCGGGGGTTTCCCCCTCCCCAAAAACCCCCAAAAAGGGAAAAAACCCGGGGGGGGCCCCCAAAAAACCCCCCGGGGGGGAAAAAAACCCCTTCCCCCCCAAAACCCCCCCCCGGGGGGTGTTTTTTTTTTTTTTTTTCCCGGCGGAAATCCCCTCGGATACCACCTGTCGGTGGCATGTCGGACTCGAACCGACTAAAACCGCACGCACTTCGCCGGGTACTAATTGCCGGGGAAACCAGGTATACCCTAGAAAGGAAGGCCCTGGTGCCCGACATACCTCGGGTCATCTACAGACGAGTAGACGACCCCCGCCCCGTGTGGGAATTATTAGGTAACTAAGATTGTTCATTTGTTATTTACACTGCCTATTTCTAATGCATTTTCTACCTTCATAAACGTGGAAGTCGTATTGAAATTGCTTTAGTAGGTATCTATCATATTCCACTTACAAAACTTACTGGGTTGGTAGGCAGGCACATTTAGTAGGTAAATAAATTAGGGGAAGTTGCGATGATTGGACCACATAATTTTAAAGCGTCATATCTAATTAAATAAAAAGTGATAGAATAAAACTAGTGATTAAGTTTTAATCCTTTCTTGTTATCAATACGATGCCATATTTAGGTATTTTAAGTCAAAGTTGATCAGTTTTAGCAATATAGTCATAAAACAATTTTTATAGTCCATCTAATCTAAGAGGTAGCTACCGTTTGACAGTTCTGACAAATTTAACTATAGCGATGGGGGGCGAAGAAATCGATTCCTACAATATCCGATTCTTAAGATAAGTATTATATATCGATATCATACAATCGAATACAATACATACGAATACAATTTTACAGATCTATGTATGTTACTTTAAAAGTCCGTGTAATGGCATATCATATGTTTTACTAGTAAATCTTAGTGTACACTAGACTTGGACACGAGCGATTTTGCCCTACAAAGATTTACTTAAACAGACATTGACTTAGGTACCTACATACCTACTTTTAATTTTAAATAAGTATGCGTTTACGTTTACAGTTGGATTTCAGATAATTGTTAAGTATTATTAAATACTTTAAGAGACCTGGATTAAAAATGACACGTTATTATTAGATTTGATTTTTAGTACATTTTAACGGTTATTCGTATTCGTAGTAAATTGGAAGAGCCGCAACACTACGGTAAAGGACCTTGCTACGTGAATTTAAAACGAAGTTTGAAAAAATAACATCTATTGTTTATAAATTGGTTATTTTGTATTGTATCAAAGATTTCAATTTAGTTATAAAGAATTGAATATCTTGCGCTAAAATAAAATTAGTTTCATGATTAAACGGTTTCACGGAAAAGGTTAGTGAAATTGTGTGAGTTACGCCCATACAAAGTTTTTTTCGTCTTGAAAAGTATGTAACGTCAAACGGTACCTCTTAGATTAGATGGACTGTAGATCCTTTGCTTTCATTGGACTAACGTTGCATTGAACGGACTGCCTTGTTGCTATCAATGGACTTGGAAACGTTTGTACTAAAGGTCCAATCATGGTAACTTCATTGAAACACACAATTTTAATCATTTTTTTATTAATGGTAACAATAACAATCACATAATTGTCAATCAACGTTACAATTTACAACTTTTTGACAAAACATTGGTAACTACACCTGATGGAAAGTGACTAACGCCGCCCATGGACAAGAGTCACAAGTGAGTTGGCACCCCTTAAGTCCCTTTCAACAGAGTCAGGCAGAGGGTTTTTTTTTCAAGACAACTTCCGCATTAGGAATATATCCTGTGTCGCGGTTGATTTTTCAAACATACCATTTACTTTGGTTATGAACTTTCGTAATTATAAGACTTAAAGAAAAAAATCACTTTGATCACTGTTGCCCACACGTGCGGGTAATTGTGGTCACGCATTGGGTAATGGGAGTCAACAGATCCTAACAGTTGTCGCACATAAATCCTTCTGCTGAATCCCATCCGGTGCAGTCTGCGTGTGCCCATAGCCCACACACCGTGCATCTGTACCAGATCTCGTTGTTTGCGCCCTAACTCGGTACAAATAAGGCAGGTATTAGTACCAATCCCATCTATATTTTCCAGGTCATCATCTTCATCGTCGTCACAAATGTTATGGAAACTTGAATCTGACTCGGAGGTCGATTAGATGTCTTGTAAAAACACGTCTTTTAGCCTTGTTTTCACGATCTTGCATTGTGTTATGAGTTTCTTTGCTCGAAATCCAGACACTCCTTTGTTAATAGATGCCACAGCTTCATATGCTTTGCTTGATAGCGTTGTCCACATCATAAGGTGTTATTTTTTCTGCAAGCCGAGATTTTAAAAATAAATCAAACTCTCTCTTGTAAGCAACTTTAAAAAGGCCCAAAAATGTGACATCAAGCGGCTGCATGCGGTGTGATGTGTGCGGAGGTAGTGAAAGCATATGTATGTTATTTTGTTTGCAGTGCTCAAATATTTGTAGTGACATGTGGCTGGCATGATTATCCAGTATCAGTAGAATGGGTTGTTCAGGTGACGGCTTAGTATGTCCATCCATTGTCAGAACATTTGTAGATTGCACCGGCTGGACCATCTTTCTCCATCTGTGCAGACATTGTGCAATGAGTGCTGCCGGTGGAACGAATCCACCGGTAGCACTCATTGCACACAACAGTGTTATGTTTTTGCCTCGTTCCCAACTAGTGATAGATCCAACTCTTTTCACACCTTTAGGGGCTAAGATTTTTCCAGGATCCTGGACTGTCTAGATACCAGTCTCGTCACAGTTGTATATGTTTTGTGGTATAAACTTGTGTTTGTCCATCAATTCTTCCAGAAAGCCATAAAATAATTCAACTTTCCGCTTATTATAAGCAGTGATTCGGTTGATTCTGTTAGCCTCAGGCTTGCGAATAGAGATATTGTTTCTTTTCAGAAATCCTTCAGCCAGTCACGACCTGCCATTTTTGCATTTTTGTCAAAATTGTTTTTAATTCCATGGTCTTCTGCGTATTGGAAGGCAATCATTCTGACTTGAGTAGCAGTGCATCCGTAAAAAGCTTTTGCCATTAATTTAACTCGGTTTGCCAGGTCCTCTTCCACTTGTTTGCTAAATACGGTTTGACGCCCAAGACGTGGTTCCGAGGAATCTTTTTTTTTTTAAGCGGTTTTTGAAGGCTGGAAAATGGTAGGTATATCCCTACATTTGGCAGCTTGTCTTATAGATGAACTTCTATTCATGAGATCTTCCGCTTTGGATAGTGTGTCTGAAGACCACTGGTCTTTATTGGTACTTGATTTGGACGTGATTTTGGCTACATGAAACAGACACATTGAACACTCAGACTCAGAACAACAATTTGTGGATCACACTAAGTTTCGTCCCATGTGGGGATCGGGCCCACAACACTCAGCATAGTAGTAAGCGGCGTGGCGACTTGCCCCGGTTTAATTTTTTAAATACTTAGGTGATCCAAAGAAAGCGCTGGTCCATTGATCGCAACCTTCCTCTAATACTTAAACGAGGTTGTGTAGGTGGAAGCTGATTAGATAGACAGCCAGTAGAATTTTCAATAAGTAAGTACTTACCGAGCAACTAAGTAGGTACGCACCTTTCTTAAAAATAGCTAAAGTCAGGTACCTACTCAAGTCCCTGCATGTCAATCTAATTACCCAAAAATATTATACCAATATCTAATATCTAAGTATTTTGTCCTATAGGTAGGCACCTACTACTATATATCCAATAGGTACCTAATTAATAAAATATTGGCAAATAATGGCAGTACCCAATTCATTAGCTATCACTAAAAACATCGTCTAGGTACTCACTCACACAACTTAGTTGATAATATTGGGTATCACGTCACTCACGTATCACCACAGCAGTTTTTGAAAAAATAAATCTCTAGGTACATACTGTGGCCATTAACATCACTAAAACATGAAATATGACCATTTCGTACAATTAGACATAAAATTTACGACGCACACATATAATTATTAACTAATTCAATAATTCGTTAACATTGCAGGTCATTCCGGACAATATGGCTGGCACAAAAGACACGCACCAAGGTCCTGGAGTAAAAAAAATAATATTGCAAATTAAAAAAGGCGCGTGGTCTAACCCGTTGAACGACTCATGAACTTGAATTTCTGGTTTTCGGTTCGTGTCGTTCATTGTGTAAAAAAATTGCGTGAATTTGCCAAACATAATGATTTTGTATGGATTCTACTTGAAACTAGTTTTTGACTATTTCTGTTCGTATTTTTTTAATCCGTAACGATACGAAATGATAACAATTTCACCATCTGGTTTAGCACGCGTATAGATTTTAAAAGCTTATAATAGAAATAATCCGAAGAGTGGGTTATTTATAGCTGTGATAGCACTTTACTTAGATAGTAAAGTGCTACTTTAGATTTTATAATCAGAATTAAGTTCCTACCTGCTTGCTCAAAAACTAGTTTTCAATGGCTTAACTATATAGGTACAAGGTAGGTTGCTATTGAACCATTATTTCTAAACCTAGGTACCTAAGTATACAAAGCAATCTAATCTCACCTACGATTTATTTTAAATACGGAACTATTTATGCAGGCATCGACATGCGAGTCATGTTTCAAACTGAGGGTACATATCTAGGTAGGTTTAAGTAACTACGTATGTACCGTGCAATGAAAAAAATAATGTAAGTACCTATCATAATACATCTCTATTTTCAATGATAATTGTATACTATGATTTTATATTAATGATAATGATTTTATATTAATGATAATATATTAATAGGATATTTATCTGTGCTGCAGTAGGTTGTTGAGATACTTTCCAATTTCGTTCCCTTTTTTAATAGAAATAAAAACGGCATGTGGGGTCTATGGGCCTCCGGTCGGAACGAAGTTCCTTTCGCTGTAATTATAGCAAGAAGTATCGGAAAAAAGTCTTGTTACACATTTTTCGGTCTCGCTCCCATCTGCTCAGAGTATGTAACGAGCATGTAAAGAAACTTATCCTACAATTTTTTGTTAAAATTTATGTAGTTACTACTACTTGAATTTTAACAAAAACCTTTGGAACGCAAATTGAATGGAAAAAACCAGAAAGTTATGGAAGAGATTTAAATATTCAATAATATAAATTACAGTGCACTATGTAGGTACAACATAATGCAACACTAATTCTATCGATATTCAAATTTTTGCAAGCATTCAATCCCCACACAGCAGATGTTCCACTTTTAACTTTGCATGCATTCGCAGTGTTGTTTACTAAAAAAAATCCTTTGTGGCCATTTAAAAAATAAAGTTAGCAACACAATACCTCATGCAAATTAGAACGAAACTTGAGTGACTGCGTAAAGTCTAACATCAAACTTATTGATTTACAAATATAAACCGTTTCTTTATAACGAAAGCATTCAATTTAATTTGCAAAACGTAATTTGTTTATTGAATGCGGTGCTATTATAATTGTATACCTTGTGGCTGCTGAATAAAATTCATATTCCAAATCGTAGCATTGATTAGGAAAGAAATTTGCATAAACGGCGCACACCTTTCCTGTTAATCCTTTCTATGCATTTTGACTGACAGTTTTTATTCTATAGTAATATTATTAGAGTTATATATATTTACTAAGTTATGTACTTCCGATTTGAAGGATTTGTGATAAGAATAATATTAAATAAGTACTTGTACGTAACAATTTAGAAAGTGAGATAGGTTTCTTTTTCCTTCTACAGTTTTATTTCATTTAAATGTCAGTTTCGTAACATGGGGAACTTATGGCGGAAGAGTACATATCTGATTTGTAGAATATAATGAATATTCAAGTGTTGCAAAAAGTAATACTCTCAAGTATGAAGTCAAGAACTTCCATAAATATTTAAGACTAGCTGACCCTGCAAACGGTGTTTTGCTATTTACATAATAAAAAAAAAAAATTGAATTTCTTAAAATCCGTTCTCAGCTGACCTCTACTCGGTGAAAAGAATATTCCTACCAAATTTCAAGTCTTTAGCTCTAATGGTTCCAGAGATATCGCGATGAGTGACTATATACGTGGAAATCTTTTATATATATATAGATAACAACGAGGTTGGATTAAGTTGTGCGGTATTTGTTTATTAATCATTTATTTAGAATAATTTGATTACCAACCATATTAATTAGTACTTACTTTCAAATTCTGTACAATATTTATTTCTCATAAGTACTCACATTTTATTTTGGCTTTATTTATTTGTTTATACATAATGTAGGTACCTACATCGGAGGGCTTAGGAAATGCCGGAGGCATTCTCCACCGGTCAACCATTGGATGATGCGGTGAAAACGGTTTTATTGCTGTTCATTAATCATCATTTAAAGACATTATTGCTGTTCGAAGTATAGGAATCTAAATTGGAAGGACTTCTACCTTAACCTTTACCCATATCTGACTTCCAAAAGTTTCAGATACAGTAGGTACCTATGACGTTTCACTTGTAGGTATTTCTCATGTCACTGTTCGTTGGTTTTGTTTTCTCTTGTTCTAAATTCAATGTGAAACAACCAATTTTTAAACATGATTGATAGAATCAATTTATTATTAATTCGAAAATGATACGATCTGACATTCCATATTTAAATACTGTTCACACTTGAATATTGGAAAAAGGTTTTAAGGATTATTCTTTAATAATAACAGTAATAAATATGCAATAATCCCTAATCTTAAAAAAACGAATAACTTAATTAATCCTCGTTTGTAATAGTTAGAGTCCCAAGTTATATAACCGTTCAAGCACACTAAATTATTTCCAAGTTCCAGGGTTGCCAAGTTTAGCCCACAGCTCATCCAAGATGCACATCTGTAGTAACGTTAGTGACGCACAAGGGGAACATTTCCGGTGCATAAATAATAACAATAAATTGTTAACCATTAGTGAGGGGTGTGTTGTGTATGCAAAATAGTTGAGTATTTTATTTTTCTAAGGTGTGCTGAGGTTGAGGTGTTTTTTTATTTTTTAGACTCTGATCGCAAAATCTACAGTTTACTGTAATAATGAGTTTGTTTTGTATTGATTTTGGTATTGTTATCTCAATGTTAGATTTTGAAAACGATAGAGTTTTTTTTTAATTGTTCAGATTTCTTGTTACTGACATGATATTACATTCTTTGTCCCCCAAAACCGGGTTGATGGTTTGACTGGAGGATCGAGTCTCCTTACATTTGTCTTATATAAGTCATTAAAAAAAAATGTAGGTACACGCAACAGTAGCTTATTATAATAAATAAAAAAGAACTTTATAAGTTTCCTCTTAAATATAACTTTGTTTGTTTCTTCCCTTATGTCCAACGGCAGACTATTAAGATGATAGGGCAATCGTTTTTTAAAGTTCTGTCACCGTAATAATTGTATAAGTACTCTTAGAACAGTATATCTGCCGTGGGTCACCGAGCGGGTGTTATATTCACTAGTTACTTTCCTCAAGTCATTCTCCCGACTGCCATGATTATTTACTAAGAGTTAGTACTTATGTTTTAATGTAACTAGTACATATTTTATACAATTTTTATAATGAAAGGAAGAGGTGGGCTTGTCT